TTCCACACAGTGGGGACTCCCGGCCCACGCTGCCACACCTAAGCAAGCCAGGCACCAGGCCTCAGAAAGCAGGGTGTCAACAGGGTGGGGGCAGGGGTGGTTAGCAGGAAACCTCGAGGGCTGGAAAGCTGGGGGAGAGGTGGGCCGTGATCCTCCAGCTGATAAGGAAATCCCTGCAGTGGGGTGACTGGACACCCCCAGCACCTGAGCGTGTGACCTCATCTGGAAAAGCTTCTGAGCACATGAAAGGAGGGCCCACCGGGTTGTCTAGTGGACACTACACCCGGCGGCCAGAGAGGCCACTGCCAGCAGAGACAGAGACTGGGCAACGGGCACCACAGACGCTGGGGCAGCCAGGAGGGTCTGCCCGTCCCAGGGCTGGCAGAGGGGTTTGGGCCCTGCCTACTCCCTGGTTTCAGACGCAAGGGTCCCGTGCATCTCTGCCGTGGGTGGCTCCTGAGCAGGGACCCTCACCTCCTCAAACACATTCTTGCGGAAGTCGAGCTCCTCCTGCAGGCTCTGGCAGCGGTTCTCCAGGTCCACCCGCATCAGCGTCTCCTTCTCCAGCTGCTTTCTGGCAACGCTGTGGCCGTCCTCCGCCTGCGTGGCACCAGGGACACAGAGAGGAAGGCTGCCAGCTGCCCCATCCACTCACATACACACAAGCCCTTGTCCAGGGACCGCCTCAGTCCACAGACACAGAGAGGAAGGCTGTCAGCTGGAGCCCCATCCACCAGACATCCTCAGTCACACACACTCTCTCTCTCTCTCTCCCTCCCTCCCTCTGTTTCTCTCCCCCTCCCTTCCCACCCAGCTGAGCTGAGCCTCAGTCAGACACTGGGCACTGCCCGGCCCACCTTGGCGAGCTGGGCCCGCAGGTCGGCCACGTCGCTCTCCAGGCTGCGCTTGTCGCTGAGGGCAGCAGCCAGCTCCGCCTCGCTGCGATGGAACAGGGATTCCAGGTCCCTGACACGGCCCTGGGCTACTGTGAGCTCGCCCTCCCGCTTCTTGGCGCTAGAAGGCAGAAGTCGGATCAGCATACCGGACACTGGACTGTGCCGGCAGGCAGGCCAGGTAGAAGCAGTTCAGAAGGGACATCTGGGGACTGGGGAGTCATCGGGGCCCAGCAGCTCCCCACCCCCACAGGAGGCACTCACCTCTTGCTGGCTTCCTCCAGCTCAGTTCTCAGCTTCCCAATCTCAATCTGCAGCCGGGCGCGCTCCCGGGCCGTCTCGTCCAAGACCCTGCGGGCGTCTGCCAGCTCCGCCTCGTACAGCACCTTGATCCCACTCACCTGGGGGGACGGGCAGATGCAGAGGGAGAATGAGGGATCGAGAGATGCATCTTCCTCCCAATGGGCTCGGTGGTCACCAGCCAGTGGCTGGTGCTCCCCGTCACCCAGGGCAGAAGGTGGCTCGTGCACACCAGGTGGTCCCAACCTGGCACAGCCACAACGAGGCCTCCAGAGGCAGTGTGGTGTTCTAATCCCAGTACCCGTGACCACATGTGTATTTGGGTCTAGGGTTCTGACAGTTGTCACCAGCTAGCTCAGCAGCCACACTGTGGCAGGGTAGGTCTGAAGTCTGTGAGTGGGGAACTTAGACTCAGCAGAAGAGACCACGGAGTGGACTGTCATGTGGAAGGGCAGCCACCAAGCCAACGGCCACCAGCAGGAGGCGGCCCCGCCCTGAAAGCCTCTAGAGCACAGGTTCCCAGACCTATCTGGCCTCTAGGAAACCAAGTCGTGGCTGACCCAGGAGCCCAGGGCTGAGACTGCTCCCGCGCACCCGATGCTGTGACTGTCCCGGAAGCAGAAAGCCCCATCTTTCTCCTTCAGAGCGCCTGCTGGCTTCACACCAAGAGCCTTGCGGATCTCAGCCCAACACGTACCCACTACACCACCAGGCCTCTCACCCCCTAACAATGACCCCGCACCCCTCCCGCCCAGCAATGAAACATTTGTACTAGAGCCCCAATCTGAGATACAGTGCAGCTATCTGCTTTTGCAGCACCATGCCCCCAATCATTCTAGAGCAGCCCCCGGGTGGGGGTTGAAGCATGGCCCACTTTAGAAGCACTGCTCTTGACAAAACTGGGCACTACGCGTCCCTAGCTCTGGGCTGCAGGGCCAGGGGCTGGGTCGTTGCAGTTTTCAGCCCCCTGCCCAGTGGCTCTGTCTTGGTGACACCAAGACACCCAGCAGGGACTTCGGGGCCTCTGATTCCCAGCCCTCGTGGGACCTGGAAGGAGGGGGTGGCCACCCCGGCCAGTCCCCAGTCACAACCTCCTTGGCTGCAAGTGGCCTGGAAGGATGTCCCCCTCCCCGGCCAGCCTCGCTGGGCCAACACACAAGGGAGCCCCGCCCCAGACATACATACACACACACACACACACACACACACACACAGTGGCAACCACACTGCTCTACGATGCTGGTGCCTCTCACAGTTAAAGACGAGACGGGACACTGGCTTAAGGGGACTCTGCCCGTCCCCACTCTCCCCCACTCAGTGCCCATGGAGGTCCTGCAGCCAGGCGGGGCCATCCACTGCTGGGCTCAGGTTTCATCCCACTCTCCACTGCACAGGGAAGGAGAGGGCTGATCACAGGCAGCGGGGCCATGTGCCGTGCCATCTGCCTGCTGGCTCGCTGGGGGTTGGGGTCAGGGCCCCACCTCGGCACAGCTGCCGTGTGCTCACAGGGGCTGGGACAGCTGGGGCAGCTGGGGCCAGGCAGTGGACTCATCAGGCAGCAGACAAACATGCTGGCTCAGGACCACCTGGGGTGTGTGTGTGTGTGGCGAGGGGGTGGGTCTCCACTGCCACCACAGCTGGTGACCGCACGAGCCAGGCACTTCAAACAGACCCCCATTCACCCTGGGTGCACCCCGACCAGCCCCGTCCTGCCTTCACCCACGCTGCCATGACCGTGTCTCCAGCGGGGGCCCTGGGGCCACTGCATGGCTCTCAGTAGCTCAGCACAGGGCTGGGCACCCTCTGTGCTCAGACACACTGTCCTGGGGCAAGTGCGCAAGTCCCCCATGGGTTAGACCCAGAGGGGCCACGTGACCCAGCAACTCAGCCCCTGCGCACCTATGCTGGGCTCTGGTCACAGGGGGAGGCCACCTGCTTGCCTGCGTCCACGGCTGCAGCTGTCACAATCGCCAAATGGCAGAAACAGCCCCCGAAAGACCTCAACAGCTCTTGGCGACCCTACAGGACAAGGCAGACCCGCCCCTGTAACTCTTCATGGGAGTAGGAAGTCCTGTCTCTCTCCGAAGGAGAGACCGGTGGTTTCGAACTGCTGGCCTTGCACGGAGCAGGCCCATACCTAGCTCACCACACCTCACACCTCCAGGCTCCCTGGAAACAGCCTACATGCCTGATGGGTGATGGGTAGACAGGATGTGGTCCAGCCACCCAATACTCTTGTGTGTGTGTGTGTGTGTGCGCGCGCGCGCAGCGTATGCACAACGGCCTGCCTGGGGTGCGGGGTCAGAACACTGGTCTGACGCCCGTCAGGCGAGGACACGAGTTCACCCTGTGTGCCCGCGATTCAGACTCGCCAACCCCATGTCACAGGTGCCACAGCCACAGATTGCCAGGCCCTTCCTCTGCCAACGGCACTGCCAGGCCCCTCCGCTGCTGTGACGGGGCCTGCCTGTGTCCAAGGAGGGTCACCAGGGAAACAGGTGCAGGCGCAGAGGGCTCTCGGCAATGCTCCCCTGAACTGCCTGTTACTCGCCAAACCAGTCCGATGGTTTTTATATTCTCGAGAAGCTGGG